GAAAAAATCTTAAGCCGCCAAGCCCTGCGCACCTTCTTCTGAATTGTTTGAGCCTACTTCTGAGGCAAAAGGTTGAGAATTGAGCCCGCAGTGTTTTTTCTCGTGAAAATTGACCAAAAACAGAAAAAAACGGGCCGTGCACTAAGTTCCGCAAACGGCTGTAAGCATTTTGGGTGGTTATCAGAGACTTCCCTGAATTGAATTCGAGCTACTCGCTCATTCAGCATTGCAAAGACAGATCTCAGACGTGGGAATTTTGGGTCTAATATGTCATTCTTAACCAGCGCTCGCGACAAAAATTCTGAGGAGGAGCAGACCAGTAGTGGTACGTTCCTCTGGCTATTCTGCAATAAAACCAGCAGCCCTCCCAATACAGCTAATGAAAACGTTAAAGGTAGTTCTGGGCTGTCAAAAGTTAAGGACAGAATCTCACTTTCTTGTGCGAGATCAGTTTCTTTCCTGATCATCACATTGACACTTGAGTCAAATTCACCGGGACAGAATACCTGCCCGTGAAAAAATACTGTCCTAAGGCTTGGACCCTGTCCAGGTATTTTATATCTCCTCGCTGGAATTGCACTCAGAGAGTCGGCGAAAGCAAAGATCTGGAACTCACTCCCCAACGAATTCGACAACAATTGAGAGCAGAAAAGCTGTTCTGCCCGACACGTCCCAAAACAGAAAAAAATCGTCTACGATCCAAGTTCCGCAAAGAGCTGTAAACTTGCCTAAAACTCAAGCTGTGCGACAGCCTTTCTTTTCTTGCGCATCTTACGTTGATTATTTCGTCCCGCAGTTGTTTGAACTCAATGCACCTGAGGAGTGGAACTGAAGTTCTATTAGTTGCTGTATCTGGCCAATACGGCTACGCAGCAGTACTACTAACTAGACTAGTGACCAATTTGATAGTCTGCTGCATAAATCGGGACAATATCTAGTGTGGGAAACACCTTCATTTCTTGTTCAAATCGGCACGGCACCCCCATGCCGACGCTTGAATTGCTTGCACCAGTATTTTCCGTGTTTGGCGCTGCTTTCTCACAATCTTGCATCTTCGAGCCACAGGATTGCAATGTGCACCGATTTTTTGACGGAATCAACGGCGTGAACACCGGGAGGGTTTCCAGCATAAATTTCCGGGAAACTCACCCCCGCCGAAGCAAGTTGCACAATATTTTCGTTTGGCCCTGCTTTCTCACAAATTTACATCGTTTTCAGCATAAATTTCCAGCAAATTTTAGTGTGTCTTCATCTTCAACAAACAGCTGCAAAGTAAATTCATCCGAAGGGGAGCAGTTACCCCACGAAAAAAACAGTGCGTGGGTCGAGACAACTTCCAAGACAGACACCAACATCGCTAAGATTATTTGCCCATCCGGTTGTACTTACAGCCGTTTGCGGAACGTACTGTACGGTGCGGCCGTTTTTCGTACCTAGGAGTTTCCAGTATATCGTTTATTTTTTCATAACTGTTTTAAAGTTAAGGCGGTTACCCTTATTAAAAATTTAAAAAAAAACTGAGCCTACCCCCTTCTTACAGAGATCAAGAGTTGCGTCCTGGATGACCTTCGAAACCGTAAGTAATAATTACGGTGTTCAGGAAAATGAAAACGAACCTCCATTACGTTGGTGATCCTGCGCAGATCCTTGAAGTCGCGGGACAACAAGTACTGGCGTGCGGCTTTGCGTTCGGTCGTGGCCTTCTTTTTGCCTGTGAGACCGCGCGGGAGTTCAAGATTCCAGCGGGTAAGTGCCTGTTAAAAACGAAATGAGGTGAGCACAAGATCGGACATTCAGCACAGTTTGGATGTGTACCGGTTCGAGACGCGTGCCACGCTCGATCTCTGCGTTTGTGGTGTTCCAGCGAATTTTCATTCCACGGACAAGAACCAACCGCTGATCCTTCGGGCCGCATGACTCACGAGTGATGAGTCGGAATCGTTTTCGTCGAATCTCGGAGCGATTACTCCACGACGGTTTCGTGGAGCTGAACATGGTCAGCCGCGACTGCTGCGATGTTTTTAAACTCACTTTATCAACAATACAGTATATCCCCGGTCCTTGATCCGACTTCGGTCCTTGATCCATCCGCATCAAACCATTTATTGCACGCATAATTTCGTCCATAGCTCTTGAATATTTTGTACGAACGTTGGGGCATACCAAAAGCTTCTTAATCCCAAATTTGGGGGCTATTCGCCTCGTTCTGTGCTTGTGGCGTGCACATTTGCACCAAAAATGAGGTAAAATTCATAATTTATACTTTTATACGCCTCGCTGCGGCCGATTGGGCCCATAATTTCGCTCACTTGAGCCATACAAAAGCTTCCCTTACATACTGGCTAGGTCCCCGTCCCTTACCATTAGTAGTGTGGTGTTGAAATGAGGCCAGGAAGTCGCGTCGAAGCCAGACAGGTCAAAAGCGTGACATTGAATTTGTTGACCTGGGCTACATCGCGTCTCTACCTTCCAGAACATCCTCCCTGGCGCGTAAACGATGGGACGCGCCCTCTCTAATGCTGTCAAGGCCCAGAAGGCCACTAAAAAGGCCGAAGTTATTATGAAACGCGCTATCGAAGCATATCAGCACAATGCGCTCAAACCCGACGGAATCCGACTGAGCGGCAACGCAATCGCGGAGCAACACGGTGTCAACAAAGACACCTTGCGTCGGCGGGCTACCGGCGGGAGGTCAATGGCCGAGTTTAACGCGTCAAAACAAAAACTCAGCGTGGAGGAAGAACGCGTCCTCGTCGATCATATCTTGGCGTCGGCCGATCGGGGATTTCCCATGTCCCATCCAGCAATTGTCGACCACGCAAACAGCATCTTGAAGAGCCGAGGTGGTGATTTGATCAGCACCGAGTCTAATTGGAGCGATAATTTTGCCACGAGACATTGGGACGAGCTGCAGACTTACTGGAGCAAAGCCCTTGACCGTCAAAGGGCTCAGGGCTTGAATCCCGAGGCCGTAAAGGACTGGTTTGAGCTCGTCAAAGAGCATATCGCTGACCCAGATATCCTTCCGGAGAATGTCTACGGGATGGACGAAAGTGGTTTTGTCACGTCGGATACCGGGATGCGTGACAATCTAAAAAATGCGCAACTGCACATCAAAGCGCGGGATGGCATCATTGAAGCAACGCAAGCGACGATTGTTGTCCAAAACCTGTTTGTAGACAAGCAGAGTCAGGCTCTACATGCAAAGGAGACCAAGCAGAAGACTCAACGCACAAAGCTGTCGATGGAAGGGCGTGGGAGACATCTCACAAGCGATGAGTGGATGGAGAAAACAGCTGAAGCAGCCCGGCTTAGAGACGAGGAGGCAGCTGAGAAGCTGAAGCGTGCGGATATGCGAGAGGCGGCAAAAGCAGAGAAAGAAAAGCTGAAACAGCAGTGGGAAAGGATTAAGGAGGATCACGAAAGAGCGGTGGAACGCTGGCAGAAAAGGTGTGAAGAAATGACGGAGGCAGGCGTGAAGAAAAAAGACTTGCCTAAAAAGCCCACCCGGCCTCTAAAACCAAAAGCAGCGGGGGCGGCTACAACCCCTGGTGCCCAAGAAGACTCCGATGGCGACGATTCCGGGTCAGACGTTGACTAGACGGTAAACGGTGGTGAGATCGAGAGTTGTGACATTGGAGTCACACGCTGGATCAAGGACCGAATTGTGTGACAAACCGGTCGTCAAAGTATTTCATAGAACAAGACTATTTATAACATACCGTACTGTGCTGTAATTATATGTACATCATCTTTCGATACTATTGCATGAAACTGTCTACTCAGAATAATATATTTCATGGTCTTTCCAACACACAATATAAATCTCGAAGTAGTGGATCAAGGACCGGGGATATACTGTAGTGCGTTTCCGCTTCGGCTTCTTTTTGGACTTCTTTTTGGATTTGCTTGCGGAAGGCAGCTCCACCCTTGCCGACTCTTGGTCGGAGTTGGGGAGGTCGGTGTCTTCTGGATCGGATTCCGCAGAGTCTGAATCTGAGTCCGAGTCAGCGACATCTGGTGCGCGGCCAGCCAATTTTGGGGCGGCATCAGGGTTGGAGGCAGCTTCGGTATCCATCAGCTGGGTGTCCTCGATTACCTCCGGATCTTCGGCCGCACGATACGCAAGCGGATATTTTTGCGCTTCTTGATAATAATCCAAGAAGTCTAGATCATCAGCAATACCAAGCACAAAATAACTGTACAAAAGATCAGCTGCGGTTGAATACGTAATTGAACCACGGACTGGGCAACAATGTTCAAAACATGGCCAGCGCAGCCAATAGCGCGCGACAGGATAGAAGAGGACGGATTCACAGACCGGTTTGTGTCCGTAGGATTTGCACCGATGACTTCGGCGCGGGAATCTCTTTGTAAGCAAGCAAATCCTCTCTCTACTACTACGTGGCCGCCATCGGTGTAATAGCGCTGATCCCTAGTCGGCGGTTGTAACCCTCTGGCTGATCCCTGGTCGGTGTTTGTAACCCTCCGGCTACAAGGTTGTCCAGAACCGTCTCGAGGCAAGTCTGGCTGCATTTCCTGCGGCAGACGACACCTGTAACTCGCGGAATGCAATTCGGGCTGATCTTGCGAAGCTCAAAATTCACACGGACAACGCATTGGTTAGTGATTATCCCGGGAACAACGAGCCCGTGAAGTTATTCACGGGTACCAACTGGAGTAGAGTTGATGGACACCGGATCATTCCGAATGATTTCGTGTCATTCATGCGTATTTGAATCCAATTACAGCCATTTGCGGAACATAAGGCGCGGTATGTACCCGGCCGGGTATCGGTATCCACGGGTACAAATTCAAGTGGACCCGGGACCCGGACCCGGCGTACCCGACCCGGAAAATCCGCCGGGTTGACCCGAACCCGTGCCCAACACTAGTCAGTGGTTTTGGTGGTGGGCTCGGTCAGTGGTTTGGATGCCGGCTCGGTCAGTAGTTGGCTAGGGGCACAATTCTGTTTTGCAAAAAAAATGCACAAAACCGTAAGGTCGTACCGGGGTTCGAACCCGAGTGACTTGCTAAATGCGATTTGAGAGATTAAATTCAGCAAGAATGCTACCTCTACCCCATACGACCGGTGAGTCCGCCATTTTGAAGATACCGGATGGTTACCAATATATTATATTCCCAGGTAGTGTTGAACTGGCCAAAGTGTTGAGATTAAAGTAAATAAATAAAACTTGTGCTTGGATTCCTGTTGTATAGACCCATAAATTAATGAACGTGTAGTTGAATGAAATGATTATGTTTGGAACTTACCTCAAAATTGCCATTTAGAGACACTAGCGGTTGTTTATTTGGCTGTTATCTTATCTGATGTGTGAAAAACGGAAACATTGCAAATATTGTATATTAGTGGGCATACCCACCATTGAACATGGGCATGCCCAAATACCAGGAAGGATTGGTGGGTACGCCCACATAATATTTATATAACTTAGGCATGCCCAGTCAACAGATGGGCATGCCCACCATTGATGATGGGCATGCCCACATAATATTTAAATAACTTGGGCATGCCCATCTGCTGACGGAACACGGATGCGAAAACTATGAGGAGCAGTATGGTGTTGATTTGAAAACAATGTGTAGGGGAGAATTATATCCACCGTAATTAATTTCGTTTCTGGCGTGGCTGCCTGACATAACTGTTGTAGAATCTGTACAGCAAACGGATCCGCCCTGTCACGCATTACCCAGCGCAACAAAAAGACTGCTGTTTTTCTGTGGGGTTGAGGTTCGAAGAAATGATGCACTCTGGGTAATGAATGAGAGTCCTTTAGTGTAGAAGGTGCTCCAATGGTCACATTCCACCTTGAAACGTCCGCTCTGGAGATGCTCCGGTGCCACCTCTGCCCAGTACTGTTGGAGTGAGTTTCCGCCCTGAATTTATGTGGCTGTGTCAGCAGCTGTAATTTATGATTTGATCCCTTATGTTTTGAGTGTATATTCTGTTAACTTGTTTAACTTGTGCGTGGATTGACTTGTGCTGGTGCCCCTTTACACTCACCTTTCCCACTGTAGCCAGATTGGTCAGAACTGCTCCCAAAACACTCCAATTTCTCCCAAAGCTTGTGGGAGGTGCTCTGCACTGTCCTCAGGGTCACTTGACATATTTAAGGTTTGAATGATTCCCCCGAGATGTTCGCATTTTGAATCACATGCCTTGGAATGGCATTTTGAATCACATGCTCCGTAATGCCATTTCAAACACTATTGAATGGTTTAATTTGCATTTTGAATCACATGCCCCGGAATGGCATTTTGAATCACATGCTCCACAATGCCGTTTTGAACCCTGTGCCTCACTATTGAATGGTTTAATTCAGCTGAGAGCAGGAGGGATAAGGGAGCACTTGACATATTTAAGGTTTGAATGATTCCCCCGAGATGTTTGCATTTTGAATCACATGCCTTGGAATGGCATTTTGAATCACATGCTCCGTAATGCCATTTCAAACACTATTGAATGGTTTAATTCGCATTTTGAATCATATGCTCCGCAATGCCGTTTTGAATCCTGCTTTTGGCCAAATTAAATCATTCAAGAGAGGTTCAAAATGACATTATGAAGCATGTGATTCAAAATGCCATTCTGGGGCACAGGATTCAAAATGCGAATTAAATCATTCAATAGTGGTTCAAAATGGCATATTTAAGGTTTGAATGGAACCCGCAAGATATTCGCATTTTGAACCCTGTGCCTCAGAATGGCATTTTAAATCACATGCTTCGTAATGCCATTTTGAACCACTATTGAATGATTTAATTCGCATTTGAATCCTGTGCCCCAGAATGGCATTTTGAATCACATGCTTCATAATGTCATTTTGAACCTCTCTCGAATGATTTAATTCGGCCAAAAGGAGGACTTGACATATTTAAGGTTTGAATGGAGCCCGCAAGATATTCGCATTTTGAACCCTGTGGCATTTTAAATCACATGCTTCGTGCGCATCCGCAGAAGAGACTGTCAGGAGCAAGGGGCCATCGACATTTATCTTGACTCTTGGGATCAGCTTGGCCAGATCAATGTCAAAACACTGAATAGTCCGATTTCGTTTTTCTTACTACACAAGAAGAGCCTGTAGTCTTGTTTCTCCGGGGCAAACCAAACGGAAACGGTTGGAAAACAGTTTGAAAGTGTTTTGTACTGTTTAACCAGGAGCCCTAATAATACCTTGGACAAGTGATATTTAGTTGAATGTACTCAGCTGCTCAAATATCAGATGTCTCACTCACAAATATATGAATGTCGTCCCAGCGAGACGGAATACAAGGTAAGCCACATATATATCATTTGATTTTTTTTCCCAAAACGAACAGCTTATGCTCACGTTCATAAATATGGTCTATGTCTTCTGAAATATGTCAAACATTCGATGACAGACTCACAGATATATAAGTGCCGTCCCGGCGGGACTTCATG